GCTGCCTAAGGCCAAGCATATTACGAGATTACCCGATAGTCACCTGTTACCATTAACCAATCAAAATTGTGAAATTTAATTAATCTTGGATCAGTCCGAAAATCAAAACAAATGTTTAAACTCAATTATCTCGAAATAAGATAAATGTAAAAATGGGCTCTTTTAATTAAAGACACCCCATATTACCAATACATCCGAAGCTGAAATCCTATTGATAATCATATTACCGATATACCAGTATGTGACAAAATATAAGATCTTTTATTAGAAAATTTAGAAGAATCAGATTTAGATAATACTCATAGTTATGACAAACAGTTAGACGAGCTATCTAATGAAAATAATAAATATCAAAGCAAAGAATTTTTACTCAAACTAAGTATCAAAACTGAGAATAATAATATATTATCTGCTAAACGGTTAACTATTCTAGCAGATTCTTGTAGCGAATTTTATAATCAAATACTTTTTGATATTCAATTTCAACTAAATAATATTGCCATTACTCAAAACGATTATGTCTTGGCATATAAAGTAACAAAAGAAACTGGCACGAGAACTCAAATTATTAATGAAGAAATTTTGAAAGTTTTATTAAGGATTATAATCAAGCAAATAATAAAGAAAAAAAATGTTTATTAATATTCAAATGTGAAATAAAAGTAATACAAAAAAACAATTATGCAAATCGGTAGCTTAATTTTTTTTTTTAAAAAAATATATTTTGTTTCTTATTTAATTTATTAATTATTTTATTATTCTAGAGAACTGAGGAATCTAATAGCGACAATAATAATTCAAATAAGAAAAAGCTATGATTATTTAGTAAAAAACCTAAAGAATCTCATCTTGATGACGAGAAACGTATTATGGCATTTACTATTGCACAAATCTGTGAAAAATATTTTTGTGCTAATTGTGAAGGTTCTTGTTGAGTTATTCAAATCAGTCATATTAAATTAACAGGTATACATTATACAATATGGACTTGAGCAATTATAAGAATTATTATTTTTTATATTCATTTATAATGACTTTGGGTGCTTTCAAGCATTTTTCTCAAAATGATCAGCTAGTAAATGAGATCACATGAGTACAAGCAATTCTTGACTGTGTACCAGATTTGTAGCACAGTTAAAATTTTTCAAAGCTCGTTTAGTTAGAGGTTAAAAAATTTATAGTAAAATTACTCAAAGAAAACATTTTGTTAGTGCAAGAAGAGTAGTTTTATATATAATTTTTCAAGAAATAAATGATTTTTGACAAAATAGATGTTCATTTTGAATTTCCTGTTTGTGTTACATTGCATCTGATCGTGAAATCTTCTTTGTAGTTCAGGCAATCTGCACCACAAACCTAGCACACATTCAAGAAAGCCTTGAAAGCATCCTTATACTTACTCATTTTTGCTATTTCTTTATATACAAAGCAATATCATCTAGAGTATAAATTATGTTAAAATTATAAAATTTTTGATTATAAGATGAATGAATTAGCAGATATTAATATGCTACCAAGTTATGCAATATTTACTTTGCCACCTAAAACAAGAGAGATGTCTAGTTCGAATCAAGCATTATCTAATTGTCCACAATTATTAGTTAATTCTTCATTGCAATTGCTATCGCAAATGCTATCACAATCATCATTACAACTATTTCCACAATTGTCATCACAACTATTTTCACAATCACTTCTGCAAACACCCTTACAAGCAACTTCACAAATATCTTTGCAAACAAATAATTTTTCATCACAACCATTAAATAATTTTTTTTTAAATTCATCTAATATTTCCTTACAAATGTCACCAAATGTTTCCTTGCAAATATCGTCAAATATTCTCTTACAAATGCTGCCAAATATTCCCTTACAAATACCACCTTTATATAAACTATCTTCTCAATTATTGCCCAATATTTCTTCACAACCCTATTTCATGCCATTTTCAATTTTTCCTAATTTATAACTGTTATATGCTTCAACAAATAATTTAATGTCACGAGAATTATCAGCAACTTATTTAAAATCTGTTCCTAAACTTGATGAATTTTTAACAAAAATAGATGAAGCTAAGAACGCAGATGGTAAAATTTTAGCATGTTTATCGAATTTCCAAGACCAAGATATTCAAGTTAAATAGATCTGTAAATTAACTGATAAGCAACTTGATTTAGTTGGAATTACAAAAATGGGATGAAAAATTGTATTGCAAGAGGCTTCTTTTTTTTTTTTAAATATTAAGGTGACCACTTGGGGGTCTGGCACAGTTTATTAACTTTTCAGTTCAATTAGCAAGATACCGAATAGGCACTCCTTGATTTTGTTACATCAACGAGAATATAATTGGTCATATGTACAACTTTAGTATCTATAGTTACTCCTAATTGCTATATCTAGGATCTGCTTGTAGATCCTCTATTTAAACCCTCTAATCGACTTAGCATCACCAGATACTTTTCCTGGAAGAATTCCTGCTACTAAGGCTCTTTAGGACTACTTTGTCCTCATGGTAAATCTACCAAAGCAGTCCATGTCCCACACATGCATCACCTGGGTTTTTTTAGTAACTTATGCCCAATCCAAGGACTGGTACTTGCGGCTTTTATAGCCGCTACCATTACCTATTTCTTGTCTTTACAAAGTTCATTCTGATCCTGATACCCACTTTCAACCGGTCCTTTATACTGATCCCTCACCAACTACCAAATCAGTTAGCTTGGAGGGTTGTTGTACCTAAGCTCTAAGTGCCTTCTGGTTCTACTTCCCTTGGTTCCGAATTCTGTAGCATCAAACCTTTTCCTCTGGTGCGACTTTGGTGGCCAGATTGGTGGACCCTTCTTGCGCCAGGGTTGTTTATCCGGTTCTTCGGTTTTCAATTCTGATTTTCTGTAGTATCGTCAAAGATCTTCACTACTCCTAGCTTGGGTCTTGCCAAACGGGTTTCAAATATTCCGGTTCCTTGAATTTGGATCACCCTAAAGCTTCTATAATGAGATGGTGATACCAAGATTACAGGTGATATACCCAACTGATCGTTGAATAAATGTTACTGAAACACAGGCCTATTTTTCAAAAAATGTATCTGGTAGGAATCGAACTCTAGACCTGCCACTTGGAGGATGACAACTTAACCACTACTCTATGTCACCACACCCCTATTGCGAGAGGCTTCTAAAAAGTATAGCTAAAAATAGTTTTATATAAAATTTTTTAATATTGTGATTTTTTATCATTTAGGTAGCTATACAAGGAATAGAGATGGGATATAATTTTTTTTTGTCATAATAACCAGAAGTTTTTTAGACTACAATAGGCAGCTTATAAAATAAGTGATAGTGAGATAATTAATTGCAATCAACTCACGATTGTAATTAATACTTATCAATTACAAATTTTCGGCAATATGCAATTTTAGAAAATATTATGCTTTATATTGTAACCATTACTAGGAATGCAAATAATAAAATATAGGGTCAGGCCAATTTTAATATTCGGTAAATAGACATGTCTTTTATAGC